TATTGCTGCCTGTTTAGAGATGGCAAGCGGTGTGTGAACAAAGAGTAAGAAAGATTGAATGCACCCTAAGGTATAAAAAACACCAGAGAGAAAGAAAGAACAAAGAGGATGGGGAAGAGGAAGCAGCAAGTTGGGTGAATACAGGTATATTTGTGAAGCTGGATGCACCTGCCACTTACAAATACATTTGAAGCAGAGGAAATGCTGAAGATCTTGTGCGCCAAGAGTTGTATGCATCCATCTAGGGATTCTCCAGAGATCTAAATGGTGCAAGATGTTCCATTCTGCAAACACAGCCCTGCATACAGCCCCATACATTGATCTGGGAGCCAAAATATCAGCCCACTATACTGTCCACGAGTGGGGTGTGTTTTAATTAAAAGAAGAGCTGGAGACAGAGAATGTGGATGCAGCTTCTATGGCACCAAAAGTACAATTGTTTGGTGTTACCCTAACTGAACCACACGGGGTCCACAGAGCAATGTTTTTGAAAGTTTTGAAAAACACTGGATGACTCCTGTTCCATCGTATATGGATTAAGAAACCACTGCAAAAAGTCAGTACAGGTTTTGAATGGTCAGCTTATCCACACATCCCATTTGCTTCTATTTTGTAGCTGGTTCCACCACCCATTTATTCAGGATGGTATTGGAGACTTAAATAAATCCCTCCCCCCTCCTTTCCACTTCAGAGTTATTTACCCTCACCTGGGAACTCCCCCCCTCTTTTTTTGGCAATCTGGGATATGTCAGTCTTTAGAGAGCAGAAGAGCTACCTGTAATCTGGTTTATGTTGAGAGAAAATTGACTAAAGCATAGAAGCAAGTGAATCTGGATCTGTGGGGAAAAGAGACTACAATTTCAAGCCATATCAATCCAAGTCAGGAACCTTGTGTGGATGAGCCCTGTGTTGTTTTCCTAAATTCTTGGGTGAGAAACAGCTTTCCTTCATTAAAAGCGGTTATTGGGATGGATGGGAGTAGAGAACAAGCTTTATTTAGATGGGAAACATGGATCGCTGGTCAGGAGGGAGACAAACACTGTAATAAGTTAAATATTGGCTAAACTCTGTTTAGGAAAAAGCCAAGTCTACCTACCCAGTTTGCAGTAGCTCCTCAAAGCAGCTTAGTTTCATCAAACTGGGATTTCTATATCACATCTACATGGCCCTATCACTGAACAGTCTTCATTTGATCTAGGATACCGTCCACACACAACTCAACATCAGCCTTTAGAAGATGGCGTTTTGTGTCCTATTTTGGGGCTTCCCATAAGCATTTGATTGGCTATTACAGCTAGACTAGGCAAACCTTTGGTATCTTAGTGATCACTCTTCAGGCTTGTGTGTGAAGATTCCTTTCCAACCCAAGCTCTAAACTCCCTAATTGCTTTGTCCACTGCTCTACACGTAATCAGTGTCTTAAGTTGGACAGTTATGTACCGTTGCTTTCTGAAAACTGGAGCATCCTCTGTCAGCATAGCAACATTTCTTTTTTATGCTAGTTATACTCCAATGTAATATATTCTGTTCGTATACAAGACACCCGACATTTCCAAATGACAGAAACAGCAGATAATGGCTCGACTGTGAGATTTGCTAGGGCATCTAGCTGAATTTTCAGGGGAAAATGTTCTGTCACAGGAACCCTTTGTTCTTCATCTACACACAATTAAACAGCTAAAATGGGAATGACCATTCTTATTCACAAACAGACCACAAACAAAGACTGAAATAAGAGACAGTGACTTCAGACCACAGGCCATATGAAAATTATGTGCAGTAGCAGTTTCAGTGCCCTGATGTTTTTTTTCTGGCCAAACAGGCAACTTCATAGTCATAAAAACAGGAGCACGCACAAGTCTGCAGACTGTAGTATGTCATATTTGTGGCGTCTGTGCTGCAGGTGAGCCCATGCATTACTCCCAGGCTAAACAATTTATTTATTGTTTGTTTGTTTTACCCCGCCCCTCTAGATCATGTCTACAAAAACAACTTTTAATTGTTTTAAAAACACTAAAGGGCCATGTTTGCATATTAGGTGTGGAAAATGAGGTTAAATTTGTTTTCTCAACCACTCTAGTATTTCTTTGTATCTTTGTTAGCCTACTCACCCATGCGCACCTCTTTGCACCCCATCACTGTCCCTCTTATCCCTTTTCTGCCTTGGTCTTACAATGCTGCTTTGTCTATCCCTGCCACCTCATTCTCAGCTAGAGCCCACTAGGCTGTCATTTTAGCAATGGACAGCAGAGCAGCAGACAGCAGAACTAGTTGTAACAGTGAAAAAGCCAGTAGTATCTACAAGGCCACAGGCACCTGAATCTGAGCAGCAGCACTTCAGATATACTGGTGCAAGCATTTTTTTTCTGCTCTACTCTCACTCTGATGGAGCTAACTTAGTTCTAGTATAAGACTCTTCAGACAATCTTTAGATATTCAGGTGTTTACCTTTAAGCAAGAAGCTCAATCAAAACCAAGACATAAGGAGCCACTTATTTGCAATCTCTTCTGCAGCAGTGAAGGTAATACTCTTGATATCCTCATGGCAGAAATCCTACTTGACAGAAAAAATCATCCAAAGTCTACGTATCAACTCAAACCAATAGTCTCTTAACATCTTTTTGTTCAAGACCTAGCACAGAAAGTTTAGTTTCAGTACAACTAGGTAAGAAAGAAATAACGTCATATTTATGCAAAACTTTTTAGCTGTAACTTTACAGTCATCTGGATTTAATAGGCCAAAATATGAATATGGTTTTTGCTAATGTCCAAATCCTTCACAGTGCAATAAAACTCACATTTTTAAGTAACCATTCTTTCCAAGTTTGATGAAAAAGGAAATGAATGATTAATTTTTGAATAAACCAAAACTAACTCCAAACCACTATTAAATATTCTGGATTATTCTAAAGTAATTGACTATAGGGTTCAACACAGCTATTAGAATTTAAGAGCAGACCTGTTACTGAGATCTATGAATAAGCTGACCACCGAAGAATTGATGCTTCTGAATTGTGGTGCTGGAGGAGACTCTTGAGAGTCCCCTGGATTGCAAAGAGAACAAACCTATCAATTCTAAAGGAAATCAAGCCTGAGTGCTCACTGGAAGTTGAGGCTCCAATACTTTGGCCATCTCATGAGAAGAGAAGACCCTGGAAAAAATGCTGGTGTTAGGGAAGTGTGAAGGCAGGAGAAAGGGACGACAGCGGACGGGACGGTTGAAAAGTGTCATCGAAGCGACCAACATGAATTTGACCCAACTCCGGGAGGCAGTGGAAGACAGGAGGGCCTGGCATGCTCTGGTCCATGGGGTCACAAAGAGTCGGACATGACTAAACGACTAGACAACAACAAGCTGCATTTCCGTTGAGTCAAGGAATGTTTCTGCATAACAGCTAGGCTTCTCAGCATTCTGTATTCCAGTCTTCTAGCTCGTTAGCATGCTTAGTTTGTATCAGTGTATGGCAGTGGTTTCCAACAATGGGTCCCAGGTGTTCTTGGACTAAAACTTCCAGAAACCTTAACCACTGTGCTGTGCCAGGTAGGATTTTTAGGACCCAAAGTCGGGACATGCTCGACTGTAAGATAATATACATATCTGTAGGTTATCTCATGTGTCTACAGAACCATAGATTATGCTTGATTTATTAGTCACCATCTTCAGTTGTAAATGAGCATTATGTACCCAAATACTGCTGAAATATTACCCACTTCTCTGCATGTCCCTCTTATCTATTTGTTGCCTTGATTTACCAATATCACTTTGTCTGTCACTGTTACTCCATTTTCAGTTATATTAGCCAGATGCTGGAGTAGTTGGGCCTATGTGGTATCAAATTAGCCAAGTGAAACCAACTGCTCAATAAGAAAATTAGCTATTAAAAAGTTAATTTTGTTTTGCTTCTGTTTGCCTGGATTTATGTTATTTTACATGTGTGATTTCAATCTGCACTTGCCTTTTGCCTGTGAAAAGCTGTTCTTTGTCCCTGTATTAATTTCTGGTCTCAAGGACGCATCTGGATAAATTAGGACAATTAGCTACTTTCTCACTGTTGTATGTACTTCAAAAGGAATTCTCTGAAACTTACCTGCAGAATTTTTATTCATATTTTATATTAGCTTTCTCCCTGTCAATAAAAACATTTATCATTTGGTGCAGATGCACAACTCTCAGTAATCCTGAGTCTAATTACAGTACCTTGACTGCTTCGTTTATTAGTTTGTTTTCTCTAATACTCTGGAAGAAGATCCAGTTTCCTAGAGCCCTAAAATCTCTGGGCTACACCCAGCTCAGACTGGAAATAAGACCAGAGGTAACAGCACCCTGGCACCTTCTAGCACTGGTTGGACAAGTTTGTTCTTCTACTCCCATGGTTATTGGGGATTCAGGTCCTGAAAACCTTGACAAGATCAATTAATGGAATATCTTCAGTTGGGCTATTGTAAATACGACAAACTTTAGATTTAATCAATTTTTCTAGTTTAGACAAAAGGAGAATCTATGGTAAGATTTTTCATTCCTTTGGCTGCAATGGGATGAAAGGAATCACAAGAGTCACCGACAGTGCCTCTCAACTTATTAAGCAGAGCTCTGACTGTTTGAATTGGGTTTATGTGTAGCCCCAACTTTGAAAACGCAGCAGCTTGGGTATGACAGCATTTCCTCCTTCACTTCCAAGTAGTTTCATTGTGAAATACCTTAGTATAACTTTTAGCAAATGCAAATTTATGGGCTACAATTTAAGTTCAGTATCTTGATTGCTTAGGTAAAAGGAACAATTTTGTTACATATAACTAGTAAACCGGTTAGGACATATTTCCCCTTCTTGGTACACCAGACATCTGTGCTTCTTAGAGGTGCATTTGAAGACATCTAGAGCGTATTGAAGCATGAAGTGAAAAAAATATTCTGGGAATTCATTTGTCCCATTTCACTCACACATATTCAACTTAACTTATAAAAAGTAGTGCAAAAAATCAAGTGTCAAATGCAGAAGCTCAAAGTTTTAAAGGAGGACAGTTTTTTTATTTTCGTCAAATCACAACACTTCTTTCTTTAAATTGTTGTCAGTGTACCCACAACTTACAGATCTTTTTTTTTTTCAAAGGTTTGCTTGGAAATTTTACAACTTTCCTCCTTCAAGCAGATGAAATAATCCCACACTAATTATTCCAACTAGAAATAAAGTGATCCATTCCAACAAATAATAAGAATACATGAAGTTACAGCCAGACAGACAGTTGACAGCCATGGAGTCTTCAACAGTTTATTAGAAATAATGTAGACATTAAAAAAAATCCCCACTGCTCTGAACACAAATTGAGGTTTTCAGGCTTATCATAAACTGGTTAAAAAAACCCAAACGAAAAAAGATCGAATAATGTATTAACATTTTGTCACTCGCTTTCATACCAACAGTGCAAATACAATTTGGTCTAAATGTACAGATTGACAAGCAACAACGTACAGGCCCCTCTTACCCCTCCACATTAAGAGATGTAAGAGCTTTGAGAATCAAACAACCAAATGTACAGGCTTCACCCATTTTAAGTTTTAGAGGGGTTGCTAGTTTTAGCTAGGATATCTTGAACACTAACTAGTGATTAAATACAACAAAGTGAAGAGCATTAAACATTAGTGGAACATACCCTGAAGACACCCCTACAGGTACAGCATGTTACCAAGTTTAAATTTTGAAAGCCAATTAAAACATTGCTTCAGCCAGTTCTGTTCCAGGTGTAAATCTGAAACTTTTAAGTTGCAGTCCACAATGGTGAGGGGAAAAGTACAATTATCTGACTTCATGTAAATTGAGTTTTCCCATTGCAGTATCTTACGATTAGGCAAAGAGGCATTGTAAACCCTTTTATTGCAACTGTTTTGTATCGATTGCCTATATCTCAAATATTTGTGTTGTTTCTTTGTTTGTTTTTGGAAGTCTGGAAAAACTTTCATGCATAACATTATTGCCTCACGTATCTTTAAAACTGCCCTGAACAATGGTACGCACCAATCAATGAAGCTGCTTAAAACAGGTTGAAGATGAATTAAAGGATGTATTTTCTGCCTTTAGTGCTATCAACTCAGGAATTCTTATCTCAATTATGAAATGTTGTGATGAAGTTCTTTCCCCAAATCCCAAAAAGTCAGTTCCTTTTATTCCAGGTCTGGCATTTCTGGAAAGAAAATAAGCAACATGGAAGTAGCATTAGAACTAACATGTTATAGAGAAGAAGGGGGGGGGAGGAAAACTATATCTAAAAACAATCCACCTCCAGTGACCCAGATATTAATTTCCAAAATGAAGCAAGGGAGAACCACACCTCTCTTCAAAATTAGGAAAGAATCAAAAATTTCTTTATCCCTGTTGCATTTATGGTGAGGGTTCTACACAATTCCCCTTCCTATTTAATAACTATGGGGAACTGGCGACTGAGGTTTTAGAGAGTAGTATTATTAGTATACAGCTGGCAATCAGTTCTTCTTCCTTTTCTCTCTGCTTGAATTATTATTATGGTGAGGTGTTAGGAATCATGTACAGTGGTGCCTCGCTTAACGGGTGCCCTGTTTAATGATGAATCTGCATACCGATGAAGATTTTGCGATCGCATTGTGATGTTCTCTATGGGGAAAAACCGCTTTGCAATTTTTCCCCATACCTTCCCTCAGCTGACCGGCGGGGGCAGCGACGGGGTGAGGGGGTGGCTGGGGGAGAGCCAGGAGGCAGGGCAAAGCCCGGGTGTTCCCGGCGGCATTCCTCCAGGCAGCGGCGGCGGAGATGGAGGTGAGGGGTGTGTCTCCACAGGGGTGGGTGGGAGGTCTGTCTTTGCGCCCGGTGGCTGCGGCGACGGGGGTGGGGGAAAGCTCGGAGGAACAGCAAGCCCCGGCTGCTCTCCTCCTGGCACCTGCAGCGGCAACGAGGTGGCGGTGGGAGCCAGGAGGAAGAGCAAGCCCCGGCTGCTCTCCTCCCGGCATCTGCAGCC